CGGGCTGGTGGGAGGGAGGGGATTCCACTGAGCCCCGCCCCCTCTCTACTGCGGGAAGCTACCGCCCTCTCCTGCCCTGAGCCGGCTTGGGGGAGGCGGGGCTGGGTGGGCTGGCGGCCCAGCGGGGTTCAGGCTGAGCACCCCTGCAGGGCTGTATCCGAGAGACCCTGAGTCCACGGGACCTTCCTTGGGTGTGCCTTAGGGTCATTTTGGGGCAGTGTGGGTATCATGGGTGATGCCTACATTTGTTTGGTAGGGCGCTTGCAGATTGGGGGGAATTAAGTTAGGGAATCTTGCCAGGAAGATGCGGTGGACCGTGTGGGGGGGCGCTGAGGGACACACCAAGGGTAGGGACCTCTGTGGGCACAGGGCTGGGCAGGCTTGGACCCAGCTGGTATTGTTCCCAAAGCCACAGCCCTGGTGGGTGGAGGGTCCGCAGGTGCTGGTGGGCCAGGGGGCATGGCCGCTTTGGTCCCCACATCTTCCTTGAGCCTCACCTCCTGAGGCTGGCCTCTTTCTGGCTGGGTTTGGCTTCAGAGGAAGCGAGAGCCGTGCGGTACCGAGCTGGCCCTGCCGGAGGGCTGTGGGTACAGTGGCTGTGCCTTCAGAATTTCCCCGCCACCACACTTCTGTGCACGCAGGCGTGTGTGTGTGTGTGTGTGTGTGTGTGTGAGAGAGAGAGAGACTGTGTTTGGAGCCTGCACCATGGCGCCATGGCGACGGCCCTATAAACCCGCCCCCACAAGCTTCATGTTGGCCGCTTGCCGCTGCTGGCCAGCGCCTCCCACCTCGGGATCCCCCCCCCGCCCCCGCCCTATTTATAATCAGTTCCCGGGTTTGCCATGCTTGGTGGGAAGGGGTGTGTCAGCTTGGGGCAAGCAGGGATCCAGCTGGGGGTCCCTGGAGCACAACGTGGGACAGTGGGAATGTTGGGTGGGGTTCCCATGCCTGGACCCTCAGTGGGGGCGGTGGGGGGCAGTGTGCTGATGGGTGTGGTTGGGCCAGGCCTGCAGGGCCTCACATGGCTGTTTCCTCTTCCCTTCCCTTGGGCCCTGGCCGTCTCCTGGCGTGGCATTCTTCCACTCTGCAGCCAACCATCTGGCCCACAGACGGGCATTTGGGCTGCTCAGGGTGGGCGTCTGTGGGCAGTAAGGACTTGGTGACTCTGATTCCTGGTGGCAGCTGGGAGTCTCTGGCCTCCGACAGCTGGGTTGGAGGTGGGGTGGATGGAGGCGCCTCTCAGAGCCCTCTAGCTGGTGCTGTGCTCGAAGGGCTGTGGGCTTGGAGTGGCCTCCCCTAATCTGACCTGGAATGGGAAGTGTTAACCTGGGTGGCCACCGCCTCTAAGCCTGGTGTGTGGAGGTGGGGGCTCTGTCGGTTTGCCTGCCTGATGGACAGCAGCAACGGTGCCTGCAGCCCGCCTGCCCATGTGCTCTGGCAGCTGCCCCCGGACCCCCCTTGGACTTCCTCCCCCAAGACCCCAGCTTCTTCCCCAGGCCCTAGTCCTCCCAGCTCAAGCCTCTCATCCCTCCAGGCCTGGCAGCCCAGCACCCCCCTTCAGATCCTTGTGAAGCCAGAGCCCACACCCCTGCCAAGGACCCGCTGCCTGCTCTGCCACCCTCTTCTTTAGACTCTTGTACTATATCTGCCCCCATTCGCCCCAGCACAGTCTTAGGGACTTTGAAGGATGTGTTTAGAACCTGATGTCATTTCTGACGTTGGAACCCTGGGGCCTGGTGGGGGAAGGGGCAGCTGTGGAGGTGGCGCTGCCTCTTGAGGTGCCCCCCACTCTGCAAGGGCCCCGGCTGCGGGTGGGAGGGGCCGCCAAGCTGCTGAGTCAGAGGGGGCCGGCCCGGCGTCCTGGAGGAGGGCGGGCAGCCGGCACTGCCGGCAGGGATTGCACAGAGCCAGCCCACGAGCTGCATAGGCGGGAGTCTGCCCTCACGCTCAGCGCCCCAGCCTGCCTGCCTGCCCTGCCGCTGGCCGTTGTCGCACCCTCCCATAGTGCCGGAGCCTCGTGCAGCCTTCTCGAGGTGCCCTGCCCTCTGCCTTTGCCCCTGTGCTGCCCTCCCGGCTCCAGCAGCCATGGTGGCTGGCATGCTCATGCCACGGGACCAGCTGCGGGCCATCTATGAGGTGCTCTTCCGTGAGGGTGTGATGGTGGCCAAGAAGGACCGGCGGCCCCGCAGCCTGCACCCCCATGTGCCTGGCGTCACCAACCTGCAGGTCATGTGTGCCATGGCATCCCTGCGGGCACGGGGCCTGGTCCGAGAGACCTTTGCCTGGCGCCACTTTTACTGGTACCTCACCAACGAAGGCATTACCCACCTCCGCCAATACCTGCACCTGCCACCGGAGATCGTGCCCGCCTCTCTGCAACGTGTGCGCCGCCCCGTCGCCATGGTGATGCCCGCACGCCGCACCCCACAGGTGCAGGCTGTGCAGGGTCCCCTGAGCTCCCCACCCAAACGGGGGCCACTGCCTGCGGAGGAGCAGCGGGTCTACCGCCGGAAGGAGCCTGAGAAGGTGTCACCTGAGACCCCTGTGGTGCCTGCCACCACCCTGGGGACCCTGGCCAGGCCCGGCCCGGAGCCTGCCCCTGCTCCAGCCACAGGTCAGCTGCACCCTGACCCCAGGTCATGAGGGGTGGAAAGTGGGGGGTCTGGCTGTTGTTCCTTCGGACCTGGGCCTGGGTCGTAGTGGTCAGCTGGTGTGCGGAGTGTCGCTCACACCAGCAGGTGGCCCCCTGCCCAAAGGTGTGGGGTGCTCTTGCCTGTGGAGCCACGTGGCTCCTCCTCCTCGGCTGGGGACCTTGGGGTGTCTAGACTAAGGAGGAGCCTGCAGCTGATGCCAGCGCCTCCCCAGGCATACCCCGGGGCGCCCCCTGCCTTCTCTCTAGCACTGCCCTTGCCTTCGCCCCCTACGCCTCCTCCCCTGTCCCAGTGACCTGTCTGCCTGGAGGCCCCTTTGGCACCGAGATGGGGTGTTTGGGGAGATGCTGGCGCTGGTCGTGGGTGGTCATTCTTCAGCACGTGGCCTGGCCGCCTCCCCTGCCGCGGTGCTTGGTGGTCAGGCTTGCTGTTGCACAGAGCGCCTAGTGTGACCAGTAACAGTGCTTGACCAGCTTGGGCTTGGTGGTGGCTGGGGACAGCCCCGGGCAGGATGGGGAGAAGCACAGGGTCCAGGCAGGAGGCTCCTCCGGCAGGGCAGAGGCCAGGCTGTGCTGTGGCATGTACTGGCCTAACCCGGGGCCTAGATAAGCGTTTCCTAGTACGAACCACGTCCCGCAGGACGAGACAGGTCCTGTCATCCCAGAGGCTTCCAGAGACCCCTTGCTCTGTACCTTCTCTGTGGCCTCCCTCTGTTCCCAAGCACCTGTACCAGCAGGACCCTGGTGGGCAGATGTGTCCCCTGCAGCCTGAAGCTTACACACACTGGAGCACTCCGCCCTCAGTGTGAGGCCAGCTCAGGAGGGCCCTGGCCCCCAGCAGAAGGCTGGCGTGGCCCCACCTCCCTCTCTGGGGCTGGCATTTGGGAAGCAGCTTGCTATCTCCATCTAAGAAGGGGGACTGGGGTGGGGCTCTTGGGGTGGGCAGGAGTTTGCCCGAGGTGTGGGGGAGGCCAGGGGAGGCCCAAGGTTGGGGCACAGCTGCCCTTGAGGGGTGCCAGGCAGAGCCCTGGTGCTGGCAGGCTGGGGTGGGTTGGACTTGTTAGGGGCTTGCCTTGAGCCCATTTGGGAGGATCCATGGGGCTGTAGGGTGGAGGCTGGCCTCCCCTCCTGGCTCTCTCCCCAGCCTTGGGCAGGTCTTGTGGCCTCTCCACCTCCTCTCTAAATGGGCGACATGTCTCCTGGAGGAGGCGTGAGACAAAAGGCCACTCTGCCAGGTGTGTATCCAGGCCCCAGCCCATGGGGCCTTTCTGCTGGCTTCTCCCCCTTCCCCCAACACTGCTGCCCACCCACCTCTGGCCATTTGGCAGCCCAGCCTCCTTGTGCTCAACTCCTGGGTGTGGTGACTGGGAACCCTTCCCCTCCTTTTTTCTCTTTCCTTGTCCATGGCTGGGCTGGGCCAGCTTGGCGGGCAGCTGGCGGCAGGGCCAAGGGTGGGGGGGGGCTGGGTGTGGCCACAGCGGGCAGAGCGGAGGACACCCCTCCCCGATGGAGGTGACTCAGTCCCCCCGAAGCCACAGCCACCAGAAGCAGCTCAGAGTTTCCAACAGGAAGCGAGCTGTAGCTCCAGGATGAGTCAGGGCCAGCAGGCTCAGACCCCTCTTCCCTTGACTTCACGGGCTGAGCTTGGGGATGGGAAGCTAGGGGAAGGATGGGGCTCAGATGTAGGGTGTGGCAGAGGACCAGGGCCTGGCCTTGGGCAGTGGCAGGGGTCATGATGGCCCTGCATACAGGCTGGAGCAGTTCTGAGGATACCTGAGACCATGGACTTCTCCGAGTTTTAGTGACCAAGCAGTGCCCTGCCCTGCCCTTCCCCACTGCACAACCCCACCGAAGTTGGCAAAGGGGCAGGGTCAGAGCTTGGTGTGCCAACTGCTGGTTCACAACGGCTCTGTCAGATGGGCTGCCCCTCTCCATCCAGCCCTGGCTAGGGAGCACCAGCTGTACTCCTGTGGTGAGGCCCCGCCCTCTGTGTGCCCTGGTGATCTGCTAGTCCCTGCTAGTGGCACATCCGTGTGGGAAGCCCTCCGTCCATCTGCTTGTCTAGCCATGTGCAGGTCAGGGCCATACCCAGATGGAGCCCCTGCCCCAGGGGGACCCAGATATGTGGGGTGAACTGGGTGAGGAGAGAGCAATAGGGAGGTGGCTTCAGAAGCAATCAGGGAAGGCTCTCTCAGGAGGTGCCTTGCCCTGCCAGGAGCAGCCCAGAGAGGGACAGAGGGAGGCTGGATGGCCAGAGGGAGAGGACTCATGGGAAGGCCCTGGGCCTGTGGCAGGGAGTTTTGGTTGCTTGGTGTGGTGGGAAGCTGTTGAAGCAGGTTTTATATGTGAGTTTCATTTACATTTCAGTTTTATTTTATTTCATTTATTTTTTTGAGATGGAGTCCTGCTCTGTTGCCCAGGCTGGAGCGCAGTCTTGTCTCACTGCAACCTCCGCCTCCCGGGTTCAAGCGATTCTCCTGACTTGGCCTCCCGAGGAGCTGGGATTACAGGCATGTCCTACCATGCCTGGCTCATTTTGTATTTTTTATTAGAGATAGGGTTTTTCCATGTTGTTAGGCTGGTCTCGAACTCTTGACCTCAGGTGATCCACCTGCCTTGGCCCCCCAGAGTGCTGGGATTACAGCTACAGTGCCCAGCCATAATTTACATTCAAATAGTGATGCTTTGCCTGGCTCAAAATGCAGAAGGAACCCAGGATTGTGTGGAGGGTACACCAGCTGAGCACTGTTCACCCATGGCACCTAGAGCTGCTTCCCACAGGAACGAGCAGGGGCCGGCGGAGCTGCCACCACTTCCCCTCCCCATGGAGGAGGCTGGCCTGTGCCTCGACCTCCCCACTTGACCCTCTGTAGCCCTGCATCAAGGGGGGCTCCTGGAGGTGGCCTGGCTGCCTTGCCCTTCTTCACAGCCGCGTGGTATCCTGGGTGGAGGCGGACTGTGGCCTCGCCAGCTCTCTGCAGGTATCTCCACATGTATCACTGGCTTGGCTGAGTCACCTGTTTGTGGGATTTCTGTCGATCGCAGGCAGGTTTCTAAGTGGAGTTATGGCGGGATTTGATTTGCACTTCATTGGTCCACAAGCAGCTAGGTGGAAGTGTGGAGACGGTCGCCCCTGGACACGATGCCTGGGAGGACTCAGGTAGAGGAAGGGACCGCCGGCCCCTGCTCGTTCCGGTGGGAAGCAGCTCTAGGGGCTGAGGAATGTGGGTCTCAATGAGTGGGGTGGGGTGGACAGTTGGGGCTCTGCTCCCTCGTGGCTCACAAATTGCCGCTGGGCACATGGATGCCTGGAATGTGGGTGGGAGGGTGGGCGGGGTGGCAGGCTGGGCTGGTGGGGCCTGCAGCGGGAAGGGGAGGCTGCAGGGTGGGGTCTGCTGGGCGGGGCAAGGCACAGTAGGGAAGACCCATGGGCTGGGGCCAGAGGGCTCTCTGGGATTGCAGGCAGGCCAGTCCCCTGCACCCCCAGGCGGGTCTGCTGGGCTGGTCTGACCCGTCAGTCTGCTGGGCTTCAGCTCCGTGAACTGACTAAGGGGTGGCTGTGAGGAGGAGCCGCTGTTCCCAGGGCACGGGTGGGCCTGGCCCTCCCTCTGCCTCCCACCCCTTCCCTCCTTCCTGCCTGGCCTTCCTCCCTGCCGGCTCCAGGAGCAGCCTGGCGTGTGCAGCAGCCATGGACAGGTACAGCATGGAGGAGCTGATTCAGCTGGGCCAAGGTAGGGCAGGCAGAGCTGGAGGCTGTGGGAGGCAGAGGAGGGGAGCCAGGGACCAGGGCCACGAGGGGGCCGGGGCTGCCCCTGGCAGACCTGTCTCTTCCCGCTGCCCACAGTTCTGAGACGCCAACATCTGGGATGCAGGGATAGGCACGGCCCCCTCTCGGAGGTATCCCAGGAGCATGTATGATGTGTCCTGGACTACGGGCCCTGTCCTGGCTCAGTGGAGTGGTAGAGGAACTGCCCCCTGCCAGCCTGGGGCACTCCTGCCTCCAGGAGCTGGTTCTCACCCAGGCTGTTGAGTCACAGGCTCCTCGGAGACTTCCCTGGCCTGAGGCAGGGGGTGGGCTGAAACGTCCGGCCTGCTGGCCCCTGCCCACTGCTGGCCGGATGCCGTCCTGGGCTCAGCTGGGATTTGGGCCCTCTCTGGCATGCCTTTGGGGCAGCGGGTGTCCCTGACCCTCAGGGCTGCCTGGGCACACCCAACCCCTGGCCGCCCAGAGCAGGCCCCTGCAGGCATTTCCCTCAGCAGCACCTTTGGAAGTGTGGGGCTGGAGAGCAGGAGGCTGGGGTGGGCCCACTTGGCCCCAGCCGTCTTGCTGTCCTTGAGCTCCCCAGCATGGACCAGGGTGCCCTGCCCAGTGGCCAGGGCCAGGCTGGTTCACTGTGCCTTGCTGTGGGCTGAGGTGACTACACTGGGGGCCACCTGGGCTCAGATGGCAGTATGTGGGACGTTGGGTGGGGCCTCAGGTTCCTCATCTGTATGACGCATTCGTGGTACAGGACTTCATGGTGCTCGCTTAGGATTCCACGTGGTGCCAGGAGCAGTGGAACTGCCAACGTGTGTTCTGCTGGGCCTGAGGGGTGTACCCAGCAGAGGAGGGTCCTGGGTGAGAGGAGTGGAACTGTGTGCACCCCACATCCTGTTTCCCCAGCTGCACTACAGGATATGTATGCTATGGGCCTGCCTGTGGCCGAACCCTCTGACCCGGGCCTTCCACAGAGCAGGGCTTCGGGGCTCCTGGCTGGAGCCAGGCCCAGGAGGGGTGACCCCATCCCAGATCCCCCAGGACCCCAGGAGAGGCCTGAGGCTGGAGGCGCCCCCTGTACTGTGGGGCAGGCACTTGCCTGGGTGGCTAGAGCCCTGATTTCGGGCTGCCTGGGTCCCAGGCCTGTGCGTGACCTTGGGGCAGCTGTCCCGGCCACCGGTGGGGCCAGGTGCTGCCTTGAGTGACCTGCGCAGGGCCCTCTGGGAAAACGGGCGGCCTCTCCTCTTGGCCTTCGTGGCCTTTCCAAGAGCACCCCCCAGGTGGGCAGGGACTGCAGGGACATGAGTCCACGCCCCCCACCCCCCACCCCCCATGCCCTGTTCCATTAGAACCCCTGCGGGAGTTGGGGGACCGAGGTGTCAGGTGGCACTGCCCAGCCAGACCCTACTGCCGCAGGGCCTAGGTGCCCTCGCGCTGTGCGTCATGTTCTAAGTCTGGGTGGTGACCGTCCTCTTGAGCCCTCCTTGGATATTTATATCCCCTGGGCCCCTGCCCACCACTCCCCTCCCCCACGCGCTGCTGCTCAGAGCAGCACAGCCGGGCCCTCCTCCCACCCGACGCTGCCGCCTCGGCCTGTGCCTCTGAGGGGCCCGTGACCTCCCACACCCCTGGCCGGCTCTGTCTGCCCCGTGGGGTTCTGTCACTGTCCCCGATGAAGATCGTGCCCGGTAGGTGGGCGGCCCTTGAAAGTCTTGTGAAAGCCTGGGCCCTTGCTGGGGACCGGAGCCAGAGGGCTGGGGCGCTGAGGCTGGAGGCCAGGAGCTCTCTATCCCTCATCCTGCAGGCAGCCTACTTCCTGCGCCCTCACCCAGACCCCCTCAGCTCTATCTGCAGTCCGACCTGGCGGGGGGGCGGTGGGGCTGGTGAGGAGGGTGAAGGTCTTTGAGTGTGGTGGGATCAGCTGCAGGCTTGGGTGGGGGGCGCTGGCATCCCTCTGTGCACGGCAGCTGTCCCCAGAGGGCAGTCTTGGAGGCAGAGTGGGCTGCTCAGGCCCCTCTTCTGGCGGGGATAGCAGGGGGAGGCTGGGAGAGAGGCTGTGTGCCAAGGCTGCTGGCAGTGCTGGGGGGCTGCGGTTGGCCCCTCCTCCCAGCGGGTGTGGCTGCGGGGACGCAGGGGTTAAGGCCTGCTAACCTTGAGCGTCGGTAGCTCAGCGCAGGGACAGCTGAGCTGGCCGGGTGGGGAGGCGCCGAGGGCCGGACTGGCAGGAGGAGGAGGAGGAGAGGAGGCGGGCGGGAGCCGTCTCGGGGCTGCTGCGGCGTGTGGGGCGGTCCTGCGGGCAGGGCAGGCTCTGGTCCCGGTGCTCCCCCTCACTCACCCTGCATGCAGGGAGGGGGCTGTCTAGCCTGAAGCAGCGGGTTTCTGGAGTGGGAAGGGCGGCCCTGGCGGCTCTGCCTGGTGGCCATGGAGCCCTCGGGCAGCCTGTTCCCCTCCCTGGTGGTGGTGGGCCATGTCGTCACCCTGGCCGCTGTGTGGCATTGGCGCAGGGGACGTCGATGGGCACGGGATGAGCAAGGTAAGCCCCTGCCGGGGACTCGGGGTGTGGCGGAGGGTCCGCCTCCCTCCCGCCCCTTCATTCCCTGTGCCCTCCCCTTCCTGTCCCCGAGCTGAATGTCAGTGATAGCCCCCGCAACCCACCCTGCAGTGTAGACCCTGACCCTGCTGCAGTCCCAGCGCAGAGCGGGCTATGCGGCAGCCCTCAGCCTGCAGCCTGTGTCGGGCAGGTGGGTGGAAGGGGAGGCCAGGCAGGGCAGGAGCGTCCCCCTCGTGAAGGGAAGCCTGTGGCAGGGAGAGGTGAGGCAGGTGCCTGTTCTGGCCAGCACTGAGGTGGAGCTGGCTCCCCACCCACAGGGCAGGGGGTGGAGTCACACACAGGTGAGGCAGGTGCCCTCATGCCCTCAGGCAGGGCCTGGAAGGCCTCACGGGGGCGGGGGCAGCAAGGCTGTGCCCTGCCTCCCTGCTCAAAGTCACCAGCTCCTGGGCTGTGGTCCCAGGTGGCAGCCAGGCCCAGCACAGGATGGGGCGGGGAGGGAGTGAATAGAGCCTGGGACGGGACCGTGGGGATTAGGCAGCACCCTGGGCATCTGGCCAGAGGGACTGCCCCACCGGGGATCTGGCCGGATGGGCCTCTCCTGCAGTGGGAGGTCTGCCCAGCTCAGCTCCTCCGCTGGATCCCCATACTTGAGATGAGTCAAGATGGGGCTTCTAGGCGTGGTGCTGGGGACACCCCGAGCTGCCAGGGACTCAGCTGCCGGGATGAGACGGGCTGAGGGCTTCTTTCCCGTCCATGTTTTTGGCTGAGGACCAGACACTGTCCCCTCCCTTCCCACCTCAGCCCACGATTGCCTCTTTCCGCCAGGGTCCTGGCTCATGGGATGCCTGTTCCCCGGTGGTGCCAGAAGGGGCTCAGCCCCTCGGTTCTGCCCCCAGCGTTGTCTCCCCACTGCCAGGCCCCGCACCCTCCCACCTTACATCCTGCCGAGAGCTCCCTCCCAGGCCGCTTCAGCTTCCCGGCCCGGGCAGTGGGTTGGGGCGCGGCTTCCTGGCTGCGCTGGGCGGGGCTGCGCGCCAGGGGCAGGTTCTTCGGGTCTGGGCCTCGCTCCGCGGTGGGCGGATTGTGGGGAGGTGGAGAGCCGAGCTGGCGGCCTCCTAGCGTGGGCTGGAAGCAAAGGCGCAGCCGCGGTCCAGCTCGCCCCACCGTCCGGGGCCGAACCAGGGCTCAGGCGGTGGCAGGCATGTGGGGGGCAGGGGGCGCCTTCGCCTCGCCGAGGGAGGTCTCGCTGGAGCGGCCGTGCTGGCTGGACAGCGGCTGTGAGCCGGCCCGCAGGGGCTACCTCTACCGGCAACTGTGCTGCGTAGGTGGGTCGGCGGCGTGGCCGGCGGCACCGAAGGGGGCCAGCGTCGCGCTCACTGCTGGGGCTGGGTCTGTGCTGGGAACCGCTGCCGGGGCTGGGATGGGGGTGGTGCCTAGGCCAGGTGCAGCCTCCGCGCTCCGGAAACACCTGGGCAGGAAGGCGGGGTGACGTTCCCCTACCCCATTTGTTTGTCTCTGGAGGAGGCGCTGGAGGGGCGGGGCTGGCTTGCCTCCAGCCTGGGCTTCGGCCTGGGTTTCCAGACGCCAGGACTCGGGGGAGGGAGGAGGTGCTGAAGGCGGGGCTCCAGGCCGTCTGCGGATTTGCAGCAGTCCAGGACCAGTGGGATTCCCTTCCCAGTATTGGGGTTTCCGTCCTAGGACCGCCTCCACTAGCTGCGGGGCCTCAGCCTTAGTGTCCACACCTGTAAAACGGTGGGGGGAGATACTGCTCAGAGGGCCACGGCAGTGTCGCCTTGGCTGGCGGCCGAGGGTCGGCTGCCCTGGACAGCACAGGTGTCAGGCCGGTGTTTTGTGTGCGTCAGAGCCAGCTGAGCTGCGGCCGCAGGGGGTGGGCGTGGCCTGGCTGGGCGGGGGAGGTGAGTCTCGGTTTAGGGTCTGAATAGGATGCATGGGCATCCACGGTAGCGGTCAAAGGGCAGGCAGGGCTGGAAGGGAGGGGGATGTGATGGGAGGGGAGGAGCTCAGAGCAAAGAGGCACCCAGAGGCAGGCAGGGGGAAGGGGAGCGCAAGGCAGGCTTGGGAGGTGGAGGCCCCTGATGGAGCCCCAGCCCTTCTCGCCCAGCCTCATTGCTGCCCTGTCTCTGTCTCGAGTCCCCACCCTGCCCCATTCCTGGCCCTGGCCCTGCCCAGGGCGGCATCTTTGAGGCTGTTAGTGGCAGGAAGAAGGCTGGAACAGGGGCCTGGCTGGGGTGGACCTTGGCCCCGGCTCCTAGTTTCCAGCAGTCCTGGACTCCCCGTGCCCACCTTCCTGGCTGTTCCGGGATCACATACCGTGTTCCTCTGCAGAGTAGCAGCCCCGTTCCCGCAGGCAGGAGCCACCTGCTCACTGCCGCGTCCCCAGAGCCCATACCCAGCAGGGTTTCAGCACGGTGCTTGGCCTCAGGGTAGCTTCTGGGCCCGGGGCTTCTGAAGAGGCAGACAGTGTTTCCAGTGGCTCCGGGCCCGGGGAGGGGCGGCAGATGTGTCAAGTGTGGCGTGCCCTTGGGCACACGACTGGAGGTGTGCCCAGTGCGGGATCACATTTGGATTAGGGAGCTTCTGGTGCCTCCTGAGGTTCTGGAGGCTGCTGGGCTGGACAGGCAGAGCAAGAGGGTTGCCCTGAATCTTATGCCAGGCTCAGAGTCCAGGCGTGGAGACCAAGGTGTACCTTCACTGGGGACGGATGTAAGACGTGGCAGAGTCCTGGGGGCTGGCTGTGTCCCTTGGCTTGGGGTGGGTTTCCCATCTGGGGGACTTGGGCACCCCCATTGTGGGGGTTCTGGTGCCCCTCACGGCCTCAGGGTCAGTAGGAATGGGGTGGGGTGAGCTCTTCCCAGAACCGAGGCCGTGCAGCTCCCAGCTGGACCGAATCAGCCTGATGTGGGCCTGAACATTCTTGCGGTTGGAGCAGCACATTCTTTCCTATGGCGGTTGGGTGGGCTGGGCAGGCCCAGAAGCTGGCCAGAGGCAGCTCCGCCCTGGACCCCAGGGAGCCAGAGGCCCCAACTAGCACAGGCCCTTTTCCCTTTACAGCTGAGGCTGGGTCCCTCGAGCCCCACCCAGATGCAAACAGCATCCCCTACCCCTGGGGTCACCCAGGTCCTGCCCCAGGTGTGGCTTCCCTTCTGTGAGTCACTGGCCTGGGACCCCTCCCCATCCCTGACTCATTGGCTGGGCCCCTCCTGGGGCTTCCCGCTGCTCCATCCCCCCACAAAGCCCGGCCCCCATGAGTCAGCCCTCAGCTACGTGCCTCCGGCCTGAGGTGTGCTGCCAGTCTGCCTGTGCCAGGGTGGGCTCCTGAGGCAGGCAGTGCTCCAGGACGTGCTGGGGGGCAGCTTGGGAGGGGCCAGGCCTGGTGTGGGACCCCAGTGGCCCTGGGGCAGGAGCCTGGTGGGCACATGGAGTAGGGTGTGGTCCCAGCTTCCCTTTGTGCAGGTCTGTGAGGAGGTACGATGCTGGAGCTACCAGAGCAGATGGGCAGCAGGCCCCCTCCCCTAGCCAGGTGGAGGCTTCCTGAGTCCACCCCGGCGGGGTGGGTGGGCAGAGGCTGAAGCAGGGCCTAGAGGGAACTCTAAAGAGAGGCGTGGCCTCGGGGCCCCTCCCGGGGGAGCCCCTCCCACTGTTGTGGGGGGTCCTTCTGGGTGGCCGTGGGGATGGCCTGTGGGCCTTTACTGTCCTGGCACCAGTTAGCGTGCAGTGAAGGGCCAGGTCCCCTGTACCCCCAGGTCCCCCTAGGGGGCTGCAGTGGGCAGGATGGGTGAGGAAACTCCGGTTTCCTGTTTCTGGTGGGCCGAGGGCGTGACCATGGGGGAGGGGCTCCTTGCTTCTTCCCGCCGGGACACTCCCCTCCCTGGCGGTGTGGGGTGGGGCCCCGGGGGCGGGCCAGCCTCTCGGGGAGTACAGCAGTCAGGGAGTGGCCACACCGACTCCAGCTCTGAGCTGAGCCTGTGCCGATTGAGCGTCTTGTAGGGCCGATAGCCTTCAGCTGCCTGTGTGCCACGCGGGGCTGCCCAGAGCACTGTGCCTGAGGCTGAGGGTCCGGGTGACGAAGGTGTGGGGGCGGCACCATGTCTCAGTACCAGCTCCGCGTGCCTGAGCCTGAAGGCCTGGGCCGAAAGAGAACCAGCTCGGAGGACAACCTGTACCTGGCTGTGCTCAGGGCCTCTGAGGGCAAGAAAGGTAGCGGGGGTTCCCCTCCGGCACCCCCGCCAGGCAGGGCGGGTCCCTGTAGGAGGAAGGCCACTTCCTGTGGCAGGAAGCCTTGGCACCGGGTGGAGGGCTGTCTTAGAGATGAGGGTCGGGGGTGAGCCATCTCTACCCAACATGGAGGAGCCTGACTAGCTTCCACAAGGCTAGTGGGGGCCTCCAAGCCTCAGGTGTAGGGCCTGGGCGGTGGAGGGACTCTGTGTTCTGGAAAGGGCCTGCTGCCCATCAGGACGCACAGCTTCCCTTTCAATACCCGCGGGCCCTGGCCCTGGCCCTGGCCCTGCCACACCCCTACTTGGGTCTCAGTCTGGGGGGGTGGGGGGAGTGCAGGATGGGACTTGTGTGTGCTGTGGGCTCAGGGTGTGGCCCAGGACCCTCCTGTCTCCTCTGGGGAACAGTTGGGGGTGGGGTGGCTGCACCTGGCTGTGCGTGAACCCCGTCTGGACTGAGACTGCTGGGTCCCGGGCACCTGGGTCTCTGCTGTCCTGGCTGGGCTGTGGTGAGGGTGCCTGGGGCTCCGTGTGTGATCTGAGGGGGGCTTTGGGGCTCCCCTGAGGTGAGACCTGGCCAGACAGGCTGCTGTGTCTGCATGGTGGTCACCTGTGGGCTCCCAGGGCTTCTCCCAGGCCCCAGGTCAGCTGGTCTTGTCTCCCCCAGATGAGCGGGACCGTGTGCAGAAGAAAACCTTCACCAAGTGGGTCAACAAGCACCTCATCAAGGTTGGTGGCACATGCTCGTGTGTGTCACAGGGGCTGAGGCTGTGGGTGGCACTGAGGGAGGGTGGCCCCTGCCGCCCAAGGCTGTCCTCACGCTGCCTGCGCACTCATCTTTCATCTCTGAAACCTGTTATTTTCTGTCTTCTTTCTTCGCACGCCTGCTCCTGTCTCTCTCTTCCTCTTCCTCTGGTCTCCCTTTGCAGCATTGGAGGGCAGAGGTAGGTGCCTCCAAGGGGCAGGGCCGTGTTCTGTGGGCTCCTGGGGGACTCAGCTCCCGCCTCCTTCCCTCTGGGACCAGCACTCACTCTGTGAATGGGCCTATTGGTGGCTCTGGGGGACCTGTGGCCACCCCAGCTGCTGCTGTCCCCACAGGCACAGAGGCACATCAGTGACCTGTATGAAGACCTCCGCGATGGCCACAATCTCATCTCCCTGCTGGAGGTCCTCTCGGGGGACAGCCTGGTATGTGTGCCTCTGCCCCATCCGGGCCCTGCCTGCCCCCACCTGGATACCCCTGTCTGCCCTCCCTCCTTGGGGCCTCTTTGGCCACCCACCCTGGGGAGAAGTCAGGTCATCCCTCCTGACTTCTCCCTGGGACAGCCTGGCCTTGTCCCCGGCAGTGTCTCCGGCCCAGGCTGCTGGGCAGCACAGCCAAGGGCCTGGCCTAGGAGTGGCTGCACCCCTCTACCTCGGTGCTCTGGGCCTTGCTGCCCTCCGCTTTGGGTCCCTGACACAGTAACCTCATGCTCTGCTCTGCTTTGGTTTCTCTGCTGCTTGGACTCTGAACCTTGACCTCTGCCCTTTACCCTTTGCCCTGCCCTGGCTGGGCAGCCGAGGGAGCGGGACGTAACCAGGAGCTCACGCCTGGTGAGTGGCTGTGACTGCCGGCCGCAGCGGCACGGGAGCTCCCCAAGACCGTGGAGCCCAGCTCTCTGGGGGCTAGAGGCCCATTGGCTGAGCCCTGCCAGGCTCTTGGGTGGGCAGGTGGTTGGGTGTCAAGCTGCCTGCCCACCGTGCTGCCCAGAGCTGGCCTGGGACCCACCAGCAGCTGCTGAGGCTGCCGCTGCTGGGTAGGAGGAACCCCCCTTTAGTGCCACTGCCCTCCACACCAGGCTTCCTGGCTATTGTCTCCTCCCACCCCTTCCTTCCTTCCCTCAGCCTGGATCGCTGGACTTCCCGAGCCCCTGCTGGGCCTGGCCTGGCCCCTGGGCCGGTGGCCTCCCTTTCCCTGTAGGGGAGGGTGAACCTGGGATGAGGGTGGCTATTTGCCCACTGGGGAAGACCCTTGGCTTAGTCACTGTGGTGCTTTTGTGGGTGCTGAGGGTAGAACCTGGGAGCTCCAACTCCATTGTGGGTGCTGACTGTGCCTCCCCACAGCCCCGGGAGAAGGGGAGGATGCGTTTCCACAAGCTGCAGAATGTCCAGATTGCCCTGGACTACCTCCGGCACCGCCAGGTAAGGCTGCCTCCCTGGCCCTGGGCCCCACCCAGACCCCTCACCAAGCCAGCCCTGCCCCATGGGCCGTGACTGAGAGCCCCTCGCTCACAGGTGAAGCTGGTGAACATCAGGAACGATGATATTGCCGACGGCAACCCCAAGCTGACCCTTGGCCTCATCTGGACAATCATTCTGCACTTCCAGGTAGAACAGCTGCCCCCAGGCCCCCCACCTGCAGGAGTTTCTAGGGTAGCCTGGGCTCCTAGTTTCTAGGGTGGCAGGCGGATCCGCTTTCTGGCTGGGGTGTGGCCTGGGAGGTGGCTGGCACCGTAGGTATGGTGGCACCTGGGCGCCTTCCTGCCAGCTGCAGCCCTGGACTGGATCTATAGCCTGAGGGCGCAGGTCTCTCACTACTACGGCTGCCTATCCTTGCCCTCTGGCCCTGCGGGGCAGGGCCTGGAGCCTCCCTATGGAGGAATGCGGTCCAGTGCCTGCCCTGGGGAGGCTTCTGCAGCAGCACAAGCTGCACGGGCTGACTCACCCGCTGCTTGTCCTGGCCTCACAGGAAACCGCAAATCTGGGAGCCGGGCAGGCAGAGCCTGGTGCTGGCATGGCAGCTGAGTCACACAGGCTGGCAGGATGACAGGCAACTAGGGATAGGCGGGCAGACCCTGGCCTGAGCATGGCCCTGGGTACAGAGCCAGGCTGCCACAGGCCTCACCTGCCAGCCTGCAACTAGTGATGGAGCTTGACCCCCAGTCTTTTCAGACCCGGGGGTTCTAGGCCAGCTTTGGGGGTACATGGTTGCTCCTCTTGTGCCTACTGTCCTTCCACTCTGGTCCATGCCAGCCCTGGAGGTGTAGGGTGGAGCCTAACCCTCTCCAGCTAGCGGAGCGGGCACCTGCTCTGTGGTGGCAGCTGCCCCTGGCTGGAGTGGTTGGACTTGTGGCCCCAAGGCATGGCTGGTCCCAGCAGCTTCCCAACAGAGAAGGGCCCTGAAGCCCAGTGCTGCTTTGGCTGGCTTGGCGGCCCTGCACACTCACCCTGGGTGCTAAGCTGCCCCTGCCCTCGAGCACGTGGTTGTGGGCACAGGGCAGGCCTGGCAGCTGTGGCTGAGCTGTGGCCTCCTGTCCTCTGTGGGGGTAGATCTCAGACATCCAGGTGAGCGGGCAGTCAGAGGACATGACGGCCAAGGAGAAGCTGCTGCTGTGGTCGCAGCGCATGGTGGAGGGGTACCAGGGCCTGCGTTGTGACAACTTCACCTCCAGCTGGAGAGATGGCCGCCTCTTCAACGCCATCATCCACCGGCACAAGTACATGACCCTGGGGGGAGGGGGCTGGGGGTTGGGGGCACCCCCACAGTGCCTCCACTAGGCAACTTCAGACACGTTGGGGCAGGGAGTGGGGTAGAAGGAACAGGGTGAGTGCCAGCAGGCTGCCTCGGGTTGCTGGAGTTCAACAGGGCCCAGCCCCACCCTGGTGCCCTTTAGAAGCACCACGGCTTTCTCGAGGCTGGAGGGCCTGTGGGCTGCTGGTCCTCACAGCTAGAAGTGTGTACCCATTGTGGATGCCTCTGGAGGGGCCTGGTGGGCAGGGTAGCTGCAGGGAGCCCCAGCTGCCCGGCACCCTCTGCTCTGCATAGTCCTGTACTGTGCCCCTGGGCTCCTGGGTGTGGGGGTGGCATGGTGATTTCAGCTCTGCCCATGTGGCAGGGTGACTGTGGGAGATCCATGGTTGCTGGGATGTGTAGGGAGCTGGGCTGTGCACCCGCCTGTGTGGTGCAGCTGGTCTTGTCTGGCCCACCTGACGAGCCACCTGATTGTCCCAGGCCCATGCTGATCGACATGAACAAAGTGTACCGGCAAACCAACCTGGAGAACCTGGACCAGGCCTTCTCCGTGGCGGAGCGGGACTTGGGAGTCACTCGACTCTTGGACCCTGAGGGTATGTCTGTGTGGCCCCCCTCCTCGCCCCTCCCCACTACTTGCCCCAGAGCCCTCCCTGAGCTGCCCTTCCCTGTAGATGTGGACGTCCCTCAGCCCGACGAGAAGTCCATCATCACCTACGTCTCGTCCCTGTACGACGCCATGCCCCGCGTGCCGGACGTGCAGGATGGGGTGAGGGCCAACGTGAGTGGGGGCCCAAAGGGCAGTGGGCTTGGGCCTGGATGCCCCGACGGCCCTTGACAGCTGCCCGCACCCACCTGCAGGAGCTGCAGCTGCGCTGGCAGGAGTACCGGGAGCTGGTGCTGCTGCTGCTGCAGTGGATTCGGCACCACACCGCCACCTTTGAGGAGCGCAGGTTCCCCTCCAGCTTTGAGGAGATCGAGGTGGGCTGGGCATGCGGGGAGGGGTGCTGGGCCTACCCTAAGGGCCGGGTGTGGTTGCTGACACCCTTGTTCCCCGCAGATACTGTGGTGTCAGTTTTTGAAGTTTAAAGAGATGGAGCTCCCAGCCAAGGAGGCTGACAAGAACCGCTCCAAGGGCATCTACCAGTCCCTGGAGGTGAGTGTGGCCCCGGGAGGCGCGGGTGCTGTCCCGGAACCCCAGGCCTGAAAGACTCTTCCAGAGCCCAACCTGGCCCTGCCTTTGGGACCAGGGCTGTCCCAGGTCTGGTGGGCTGAGGTCTGAGAGCCCAGCACCCCGCCCCCTGTCCCCTGCATGTTGGTCCTGAGCTTGGCCCTGTCCGCAGGGAGCGGTGCAAGCAGGCCAGCTCAAGGTGCCCCCTGGCTACCACCCGTTGGACGTGGAGAAGGAGTGGGGCAAGCTGCACGTGGCCATCCTGGAGCGGGAGAAGCAGCTCCGCAGCGAGTTTGAGAGGTGGGTGGGGCCCTGTGGTGGCAGGGGAACCACCCGAGGGTGAGTCACTGCCTGGGGAGGAAACCCCCCCCAGCCCGCCCCTGGTGGGGGAACCCGAGCTCCCACTCGCCTCAGGACAGTGGGCCACAGGCAGGGAGGCCAGAGCAGGAGGCAAGCTGCAGCCTGTGGCCCGGGCTGTGCCAGACCCGGCTGACGAGGCCCCTTCCCTATGCTTCTCCCGCAGGCTGGAGTGTCTTCAGCGCATCGTGAGCAAACTGCAGATGGAGGCGGGGCTGTGTGAGGAGCAGCTCAACCAGGCCGACGCCCTGCTGCAGTCGGTGAGGGGGTGGGGGCAGGCCTAGGGAGGGAGGCCGGAGGAGCCTGCCTCGCCCTGCAGCCAGAAAGCCAGGAGGGGGCTGTCCCCTGGGCTCCTGGGGCAGGAGCAGGGCGGGGCATGTGGTGGGGAATCCAGGCCTGAGCTCCTCCCTCCTGGTGTGCAGCCAACTCTCACTGCCTGCTTTGGGCAGAGTTGATTTCTGGCCACTGGGCAGGACCCAGAGTGGCTGCCTTGCCCCCTGCCAGGCCCCCTCCCCCACAGCGGTTTAGCGTTGGGGAGCGGTGGGGAGAGGACCCGGCCCTATACCGGGTATAGGATGCGCAGGAGGATGGAGTCCACACTGTGTTACAGGAGGAATTGGTTTCCTGGGGTGGGTGATGAAGGATGAAGCCTGGGACCCCAAGGATATGGGTCATGGGGTCTCAGTTCATGGACTGAGCAGAAATACCCTGGAGTTGGTCCCAATCCCAGAAGGTTGGCAGGAGGATGTGTGAGGTGGCCGGCGGCGGGGGGGGAAGGGGCAGTGGTCCACTGAGTCTGGGGAAGCAGGTGAGGGTGGCTGCCTTGGCCAGGGCCCCTGTGAGGTCAGGGGTCAGCTGGGCTTCAAGTCACAGGCGACGACCTTGCAGGATGTCCGGCTGCTGGCCGCAGGCAAAGTGCCGCAGCGGGCGGGAGAGGTCGAGCGGGACCTGGACAAGGCGGACGGCATGATCAGGCTGCTGTTCAACGACGTGCAGACCCTCAAGGACGGACGGCACCCGCAGGGCGAGCAGATGTACCGCAGGTGGGGCCCGCCCCCCACTCCCTGGCACCCAGTTCCTCCGGCCCCAGGCCTGCTGATGCTTACCTGAGTCCTCTGCTGCCCCAGGGTATACCGTCTGCACGAGCGTCTGGTAGCCATCCGCACCGAGTACAACCTCCGGCTGAAGGCAGGCGTGGCTGCCCCTGCAGTCCAGGTGACCCAGGTGACTCTGCAGAGGCGCCCCGAGCCGGAGGACTCCACCCTACGCTACCTGCAAGACCTCCTGGCCTGGGTGGAGGAGAACCAGCACCGTGTGGATGGTGCTGAGTGGGGCGTGGACCTGCCCAGTGTGGAGGCGCAGCTGGGCAGCCACCGAGGCCTGCACCAGTCCATCGAAGAATTCCGGGCCAAGATCGAGCGGGCACGGAGTGACGAGGTCGGTGGCACTGTGCGATGGACGGCGGGGTGGGCCGGGCCCAGACCCCACAGGCTCACCTGTCTCATCTGCGGCAGGGCCAGCTCTCCCCCGCCACTCGGGGCGCCTACCGTGACTGCCTGGGTCGGCTGGACCTGCAGTATGCCAAGCTGCTGGTGAGTGGGGCAGGACTGGCTGGGGGAGGTGGGTAGGCCACGGCCTGCTGACATGCACTCTTCCACCCACAGAACTCCTCCAAGGCCCGCCTCAGGTCCCTGGAGAGCCTACACAGCTTCGTGGCAGCTGCCACGAAGGAGCTGATGTGGCTGAACGAGAAAGAGGAGGAGGAGGTGGGCTTCGACTGGAGTGACCGCAACACCAACATGACCGCCAAGAAGGACAGCTACTCGGTGAGGGTGGCTTGGCGCCCCTGAACCCATAGACCCTCCCCACCTGTGCCCTGGTCGTCCCCCATGGCAGAGACCAGCAGAGCCCTGGGTCGAGTTTGCTGGGTGCTGGGCAGAGTCAGGTGTGGCCAGCTGGACCTGAGACCCTTTGCCCTGGTGCCAGGCCCTGATGAGGGAGCTGGAGCTGAAGGAGAAGAAGATCAAGGAGCTCCAGAGTGCCGGGGACCGGCTGCTGCGGGAGGACCACCCGGCCAGGCCCACGGTGGAGGTGGGCCAAGGGCGCCTGCAGGGCTCCCTGGGTAGGGGTGGGGCTGTGGGGGGCCTGCAGGGCTCCCTGGGTAGGGGTGGGGCTGTGGGGGGCCTGCAGGGCTCCCTGGGTAGGGGTGGGGCTGTGGGGGCCACGCTGGGCCCCCAGGTGGGACGGGGGACAGGGTGTGGTGGGGCCTGACAAGGACCTGGGGTCCTGCAGTCTTTCCAGGCAGCCCTGCAGACGCAGTGGAGCTGGATGTTACAGCTGTGCTGCTGCATCGAGGCACACCTGAAGGAGAATGCCGCCTACTTTCAGGTAAGAACCAGAGCTTCCCTGCCCACTGTGCCTCCGTGGCAGCCTTGGAGCTCCTGGACCCCTCGTTAGAGGTGCAGCTCTGACTAGAAGTCCCTCTGTCTGCAGACATTGCCAGCTGCTGCCTGCAGGCCAACTGGGCCTTGGACAGGGTGCTCCCCAGGCCTCTTGGGTGCCTCGCCACTCCTTCCTCAGTGCCCCCCCCTTGGGCCTGCCCTGGGGCATATGTCAGCTGGGGCTCTGGTCCCTGGTATCCCGGCGTGACCCCTTCCCATTGCCCCAGTTCTTCTCAGACGTGCGGGAGGCCGAGGAGCAGTTGCAGAAGCTGCAGGAGACGCTGCGCAGGAAGTACAGCTGTGACCGCTCCATCACTGTCACTCGGCTGGAGGACCTGCTGCAGGATGCACAGGTGAGGGACAGGGTGTATAGGTGCTCGTCCAGAGAGGCTGGCCTGGAGTCTGGGCTGCATGGGTACTCTGGAGACCGGGGTGGGGGGGGTGGGCAACTGGAGGAGCCAGCAGGGGTGTGGAGGTCAGCCGAGAGGGGAATGAGACAGGGTGTGGGGAGCCAAGAGGCAGGTGGTCTGAGCTGGGGCCACCCCCACCTTCGCAGCCACAGAGGAAGCAGAAGTCTTAAGTCAGCCACTGTCACCAGTCCGTTTGCTATAGAAGGGGCACCAGTAGTTTGGCCTGAGACCTGGAGTGGGCAGAGGGGAGCTGGGCTTTGTGCTCTGCGAGCAGGGGTAGGGTCACCTAGGAGGGCGGGCGCACAGTGGGGAGTGACAGGGAAGAGGGACCGGAGGCTGGAATGGCCTTTGAGGTCAGCAGGGCTGGGCCTGGGAGAGTGCCTGGTCCCCGCAGAGGGGTGGGATGGCATGGGAGGAAGCAGTGACCTTCTGCAGCCCACAGGGTAGGGATGAGCAGCGAGGACATTATAGGTGTCAGAGCGTAGCTGGCAGGCTGTGGCGGATGATGTGGGTGAGAGGAGGGCACCCTGTCTGCGTCGGGAAGGAGTGAGGGCACGTGGGTCTGCTTGGGGCTAAGTCCGAGGCCTGTCCCACTTACACCTCCTGCCTCCAAAGGCTGCCTCTCTGGGAGCATCAAGAGGGCCCCACAGACCTGGTCCCGGGGGCTGGGGGGCCTGGGGCAGGCCTGTGGGTCTCTGTGGCCCTCATCTGGATGCTACCCTCCCCCACAGGACGAGAAGGAACAGCTGAATGAATACAAGGGGCACCTCTCAGGCCTGGCCAAGCGGGCCAAGGCCATCGTGCAGCTGAAGCCCCGCCACCCAGCTTACCCCGTGCGGGGCCGCGTGCCCCTGCTGGCTGTGTGCGACTATAAGCAGGTGGAGGTGAGGGTGGGCCCAGGCTTCAGTGGGGGTGGGGGTGCCAAGCAGGGCACAGTGTGGCCATGTCCTCACCGACTCTGCTTGTCTCAGGTGACCGTGCACAAGGGTGATGAGTGCCAGCTGGTGGGCCCTGCACAGCCATCCCACTGGAAGGTGCTCAGCAGCACCGGCAGCGAGGCCGCCGTGCCCTCTGTGTGCTTCCTGGTGCCCCCGCCCAACCAGGAGGCTCAGGAGGCTGTCACCAGGTGGGTGGCGGGGGCTCAGCAGCTGGGGTGGGCGGTGGACGGGGCATGGGCGAAGCTGACTGTGGCCCTGACCCATCAGGCTGGAGGCCCAGCACCAGGCCCTGGTCACGCTGTGGCACCAGCTGCATGTGGACATGAAGAGCCTTCTGGCCTGGCAGAGCCTTCGCCGTGATGTGCAGCTCATCCGCTCCTGGTCCCTGGCCACGGTACGCCTGCCCCCCGGCCAGGGACTCTCTGGGTGGGAGGAGAGGAGGGGTGTTCTTCAGGGTGCTCAGCCCCACCTGCTTCCCCCAGTTCCGCACCTTGAAGCCAGAGGAGCAGCGCCAAGCCCTGCACAGCCTGGAGCTGCATTACCAGGCCTTCCTGCGGGACAGCCAGGACGCCGGTGGCTTCGGGCCCGAGGACCGGCTGGTGGCCGAGCGAGAGTACGGCTCCTGCAGCCACCACTACCAGCAGCTGCTGCAGAGCCTGGAGCAGGGTAGGGGGCGCGGCAGGGCTGGCGGGTCGGGCTGGCACGAGGCGGGCAGTGGAGTGACCTGGAAGTGTTCCCAGGCGCACAGGAGGAATCTCGCTGCCAGCGCTGCATCTCGGAGCTCAAAGACATCCGGCTGCAGCTGGAGGCCTGCGAGACGCGCACTGTGCACCGCCTGCGGCTGCCCCTGGACAAAGAGCCGGCACGGGAGTGTGCCCAGCGCATTGCGGAGCAGCAGGCAGGCGCCTCCCTACCCCGTCCAGTCCCGTCCCTCTCCCCGCCCCTCCTCCTGGCCTCCCCTTCCTCGGCCCAAGGGGTGCTGTGTGCTGCACCTGCCCAGTGGTGAGTGCGTTCCCACTCCCTGTCTCTGCAGAAGGCGCAGGCAGAGGTGGAGGGGTTGGGCAAGGGGGTCGCCCGGCTCTCTGCCGAGGCTGAGAAGGTCCTGGCCCTGCCAGAGCCATCGCCTGCGGCCCCCACGCTGCGTTCGGAGCTGGAGCTGACGCTGGGCAAGCTGGAGCAGGTCCGCAGCCTGTCTGCCATCTACCTGGAGAAGTGAGTGCACCTGGCCACAGGCGAGGGGCTAGGGTGGGCTTGGGGGGGGGGTGCTGGGGTGGGCGAGGGCTCTGACCTCGAGGGAGAGTCAGGAGGGAATGACGGCAGTGAGTTGGGGGCTGTTCAGAGATATGGCCAGGAAGTGGCAGGACCAGGCCAGGGTGGCGGCCGCAGAGGTGGTGAGAAGAGTTCAGGTCTGAACACGCTTCAGCAGTGGCAGCCAGGGGGACTTCCTGATGATCAGATTCGGGTGTGGGGAAGAGAGGAGCGGAGGTGCGCAGGGGCTGCTGAGTTCGGTGGCCAGGCTGTGGATCCACTCTCAGTGGCACAGGGAGAAATCCCGCACCTGCCTCTCATCCATCCTGTTCCTGGCCTGCACTTAAGGGCCTCTGCATTTACTTCTAGTGTGTTATGTCATAGTCTTAGTCTCCTGCTGTCTTGTAAACCGCACGTCCACCCCGTCCACCCTTCACAAAGAGCAACGCCATCATGGGGCCATCACTGTCTGCCACATGGTGCCATTTCCACCCTGGTGTCTCCTTCACCCAGTCTTGGGCTGCGAGGGCTGAGAACTACGCTTCCAGGCTATATCTCTGAACCAGGACACCGCTGTGATCCCGCCAGTGGGCTCTGCCTGTCTCGGGGCCTTGGGGTCTGCCAATTCTGGCTGGCACAGCCCCTGTGCCCTCTTCAGGCTTGAAGCCTGAGGGGACTTATGTTGCAGGGGCTCCCAACCTCCTTCTCCCTGAAGCCTGTGACCACAGGGCCAGCCGACCCCAGGGTTGGGTCTGGACTTGGCAGGCGGTACCCGGGCTCGCTATGACTCGGGTTCCATCCCCTTGGCCTGTTTGTCGAGCCTTGTGTCTTGGCCCTGAGCCCTGCTTTCCCGCCAGGCTCAAGACCATCAGCCTGGTGATCCGCAGCACGCAGGGGGCGGAGGAGGTGCTCAGGGCCCACGAGGAACAGCTCAAGGAGGCCCAGGCTGTGCCGGCCACTCTCCCGGAGCTCGAGGCCACCAAGGCCTCTCTGAAGGTATCGTTTTGGGGCTTGGATCTCTGGAGGGTGGGGGTACTGTGGGTCCAGCTGAAGCCACATATGACCCTCCTGTCCCCAACAGAAGCTGCGGGCCCAGGCTGAGGCACAGCAGCCCGTGTTCGACGCCCTGCGGGATGAGCTGCGGGGGGCGCAGGAGGTGGGGGAGCGACTGCAGCAGCGGCATGGCGAGCGGGATGTGGAGGTGGAGCGCTGGCGGGAGCGGGTCGCCCAGCTGCTTGAGCGCTGGCAGGCCATTCTGGCCCAGACCGACGTGCGGCAGCGAGAGCTCGAGCAGCTGGGTCGCCAGCTGCGTTACTACCGCGAGAGTGCAGACCCGCTGGGCGCTTGGCTGCAGGACGCCAGGCAGCGGCAGGAGCAGATCCAGGCTGTGCCGCTGGCCGACAGTCGGGCTGTGCAGGAGCAGCTGCAGCAGGAGAAGGTGGGCCTGGGTCAGTGGGGATGGGGATGGGGTGGCCAGGCGTGCCCTGTGGCTGCCATGCTGACCTCACCGTCCCCTAGGCCCTGCTGGAGGAGATTGAGCGCCATGGCGAGAAGGTCGAGGAGTGCCAGAAGTTTGCGAAACAGTACATCAACGCCATCAAGGTGAGGCCCAGCCACTGCGCCAGACCCTGAGTCCAGGACTATTGCCTGGGTGGCGGGTGTTCCCTGAGCCTGGGCCATGCCATGGAAAGCCCGTGTGAGAGTTCGTGGGCTGGGCAGGGGCCACCAGAGGGCAGAGCTGGTGGCTGACCATGGTGTGTTCCCACAGGACTATGAACTCCAGCTGGTCACATACAAGGCGCAGCTTGAGCCGGTGGCCTCCCCAGCCAAGAAGCCCAAGGTCCAGTCCGGGTCGGAGAGTGTCATCCAGGAGGTAGGGTGGGGCTGAGCCTCACTGGGAGAAGGGCTGGCGGGCCTCCGAGTCACGGCTCTCGCAGGGCTGACCCCGACTGTACCCCGCAGTACGTGGACCTGCGCACACGCTACAGCGAGCTGACCACGCTCACGAGCCAGTACATCAAGTTCATCAGCGAGACTCTGCGGCGCATGGAGGAGGAGGAGGTGTGGCCCTTCGGGTGGAAGCCGGGTGGGGGGGTCCATCTCTCCACCTGTTACCCCCCACACGCAGCCAGAGGAGCAGCCTGAGGCTATTTCTTGTTGCCCTCCCCACTCCCCCCAGTGCTGCCAGCACCCCCTGCCCCCAGCTCAGCCTACCCCACTGTGGCCTGCCCCTAGCCTGGAGGCTGTGCTGCTCCCATGCAGTGGCTGGCACTGCCTCTTCTCCCTGTGAGCATCCCCCCCAGCAGCCTAGTGGGCGTCCTGTGTGCTCTTCCTCTGCGTTCAGCCCTTAGGTGCGGGAAGTCGGGGGTGGCGGGTTGTGGGGCCAGGGAGGGGAGTTCCAAGGCACCCACCTTTTGGCTCCTCCTCACCTCATGCGTGGCCCTGAATCTCCTTTGAGCTGGCTCGGGTCTGCACTGCTGTCTCCACGCTGGCCGCCTCGCCCCACCCTGCCCCACACAGGCTTCCCACCCAGGTTGGGAGAGGGCTTCGGTGATGGGAGCCAGGCCCCCTGGTGTCCAGCAGAGCTCAGGCAGGGCTGCGTGCTGGGTGTGGCTTGCAGGTTCCGAGCTCCGGCTTTGCTCTCTCTCTCTCCCTGTCCGTCTGTGTCCATTGCCTGTCTGCGGGAAGCGGGAGGACGCCTGGGCCTCCTTCCCCAGCTGGTGAGCACAGTGGAGCTGGCTGCGCTCGCTGCCCGAGTGCCCTGGGCAGGTGCACGCTGTCTCTTCTGCCAGGCTGGGGCCTCTATCTTCCCTGAACCCTGCTCCGCGCTGAGTGAACTATGCCAGTGTGTGCCCTGTGGGCGCTGGTGCCTGCCCCTGCTCACGCTCTCTCTGCTTCTCTTCTTCTCTCTGCTGTGGCCACAGAGGCTGGCTGAGCAGCAGCGGGCAGAGGAGCGTGAGCGGCTGGCAGAGGTGGAGGCCGCGCTGGAGAAGCAGCGGCAGCTGGCCGAGGCGCATGCCCAGGCAAAGGCACAGGCGGAGCGGGAGGCGAAGGAGCTGCAGCAACGCATGCAGGAGGAGGTGGTGCGGCGGGAGGAAGCCGCGGTGGATGCGCAGCAGCAGAAGCGCAGCATCCAGGAGGAGCTGCAGCAGTTGCGGCAGAGCTCGGAGGCAGAGATCCAGGCCAAGGCCCGACAGGCAGAGGCGGCAGAGCGTAGCCGGCTGCGCATTGAGGAGGAGATCCGCGTGGTACGCCTGCAGCTGGAGGCCACTGAGCGCCAGCGTGGTGGGGCTGAGGGAGAGCTGCAGGCGCTGCGTGAGCGGGCAGAGGAGGCTGAGGCGCAGAAGCGGCAGGCGCAGGAGGAGGCTGAGCGCTTGCGGCGGCAGGTACAGGACGAGAGCCAGCGTAAGCGGCAGGCGGAGGCAGAGCTGGCCCTGCGCGTGAAGGCTGAGGCCGAGGCGGCACGTGAGAAGCAGCGGGCCCTGCAGTCGCTGGAGGAGCTGCGGCTGCAAGCGGAGGAGGCAGAACGGCGGCTGCGGCAGGCCGAGGTGGAGCGAGCGCGACAGGTGCAGGTGGCCCTGGAGACGGCGCAGCGCAGCGCAGAGGCAGAGCTGCAGAGCAAACGCGCCTCCTTTGCAGAGAAGACGGCACAGCTGGAGCGCTCCCTGCAAGAGGAGCACGTGGCAGTAGCGCAGCTGCGGGAGGAGGCCGAGCGGCGGGCACAGCAGCAGGCCGAGGCCGAGCGCGCGCGTGAGGAGGCGGAGCGGGAGCTGGAGCGCTGGCAGCTCAAGGCCAATGAGGCGCTCCGGCTGCGGCTGCAGGCGGAGGAGGTGGCGCAGCAGAAGAGCCTGGCACAGGCTGAGGCCGAGAAGCAGAAGGAAGAGGCGGAGCGCGAGGCGCGCCGGCGCGGGAAGGCGGAGGAGCAGGCTGTGCGGCAGCGGGAGCTGGCCGAGCAAGAGCTGGAGAAGCAGCGGCAGCTGGCGGAAGGCACTGCGCAGCAGCGGCTGGCGGCGGAGCAGGAGCTGATCCGGCTGCGGGCGGAGACGGAGCAGGGGGAGCAGCAACGGCTGCTGCTGGAGGAGGAGCTGACCCGGCTGCAGCGTGAGGCGGCCGCGGCCACGCAGAAACGACAGGAGCTGGAAGCAGAGCTGGCCAAGGTGCGAGCCGAGATGGAGGTGTTGCTGGCCAGCAAGGCGAGGGCTGAGGAGGAGTCGCGCTGCACCAGCGAGAAGTCCAAGCAGAGGCTGGAGGCCGAGGCCGGCCGGTTCCGCGAGCTGGCGGAGGAGGCTGCCCGCCTGCGCGCCCTGGCGGAGGAAGCCAAGCGGCAGCGGCAGCTGGCCGAGGAAGACGCAGCGCGGCAGCGGGCCGAGGCGGAGCGGGTGCTTGCAGAGAAGCTGGCCGCCATCAGCGAGGCCACGCGGCTTAAGACGGAGGCAGAGATCGCGCTCAAGGAGAAGGAGGCAGAGAATGAGCGGCTGCGGCGGCTGGCGGAGGACGAGGCCTTCCAGCGGCGGCGGCTGGAGGAGCAGGCGGCGCAGCACAAGGCCGATATTGAGGAGCGCCTGGCCCAGCTGCGCAAGGCGTCAGAGAGCGAGCTGGAGCGGCAGAAGGGGCTGGTGGAGGACACTCTGCGGCAGCGGCGGCAGGTGGAGGAGGAGATCCTGGCGCTGAAGGCGAGCTTTGAGAAGGCGGCTGCCGGCAAGGCGGAGCTGGAGCTGGAGCTGGGGCGCATCCGCAGCAATGCGGAGGACACGTTGCGCAGCAAGGAGCAGGCTGAGCAGGAGGCCGCCCGGCAGCGACAGCTGGCGGCAGAGGAGGAGCAGCGGCGCCGTGAGGCCGAGGAGCGCGTGCAGAAGAGCCTGGCAGCCGAGGAGGAGGCCGCACGGCAGCGGAAGGCAGCGCTGGAGGAGGTTGAGCGTCTGAAAGCCAAGGTGGAGGAGGCGCGGCGCCTGCGGGAGCGAGCGGAGCAGGAGTCTACTCGGCAGCTGCAGCTGGCCCAGGAGGCCGCCCAGAAGCGGCTGCAGGCAGAGGAGAAGGCGCACGCCTTCGCAGTGCAGCAGAAGGAGCAGGAGCTGCAGGAGACCCTGCAGCAGGAGCAGAGCATGCTGGACCGGCTGCGCAGTGAGGCGGAGGCGGCCCGGCGGGCGGCTGAGGAGGCGGAGGAGGCCCGGGTGCAGGCCGAGCGCGAGGCTGCACAGTCCCGGCGGCAGGTGGAAGAGGCCGAGCGGCTGAAGCAGTCCGCAGAAGAGCAGGCGCAGGCCCAGGCTCAGGCACAGGCGGCCGCAGAGAAGCTGCGCAAGGAGGCTGAGCAGGAGGCCACGCGGCGGGCACAGGCGGAGCAGGCGGCCCTGCGGCAGAAGCAGGCTGCCGACGCAGAGATGGAGAAGCACAAGAAGTTTGCCGAGCAGACCCTGCGGCAGAAGGCACAGGTGGAGCAGGAGCTGACCACCCTGCGGCTGCAGCTGGAGGAGACTGACCATCAGAAGAACCTGCTGGACGAAGAGCTGCAGCGGCTGAAGGCAGAAGCCACGGAGGCTGCACGCCAGCGCAGCCAGGTGGAGGAGGAGCTCTTCTCAGTGCGAGTGCAGATGGAGGAGCTGAGCAAGCTCAAGGCACGCATTGAGGCCGAGAACCGGGCGCTCATCTTGCGCGACAAAGACAACACGCAGCGCTTTCTGCAGGAGGAGGCCGAGAAGATGAAACAGGTGGCGGAAGAGGCTGCAAGGCTGAGTGTGGCGGCCCAGGAGGCTGCACGGCTACGGCAGCTGGCAGAGGAGGACCTGGCACAGCAGCGGGCCTTGGCAGAGAAGATGCTCAAGGAGAAGATGCAGGCGGTGCAGGAGGCCACGCGGCTCAAGGCCGAGGCAGAGCTGCTCCAGCAGCAGAAGGAGCTTGCACAGGAGCAGGCGCGGCGGCTGCAGGAGGACAAGGAGCAGATGGCGCAGCAGCTAGCACAGGAGACGCAGGGCTTCCAGCGGACGCTGGAGGCAGAGCGGCAGCGGCAGCTGGAGATGACTGCTGAGGCCGAGCGCCTAAAGCTGCGCGTGGCTGAGATGAGCCGGGCCCAGGCCCGTGCAGAGGAGGATGCCCAGTGCTTCCGGAAGCAGGCGGAGGAGATCGGTGAGAAGCTGCACCGCACAGAGCTCGCCACGCAGGAGAAGGTGACGCTGGTGCAGACACTGGAGATCCAGCGACAGCAGAGCGACCACGATGCCGAGCGCCTGCGGGAGGCCATCGCCGAGCTGGAGCGCGAGAAGGAGAAGCTCCAGCAGGAGGCCAAACTGCTGCAGCTGAAGTCGGAGGAGGTACCGCCCCTCTCCATGCGACGGGCGGGAGGGCCCGGGATCTGCTCTGGTTGGAGGTGGGTGGTGGGTGCTCCTGCGCCGCAGGTCCCTGATCACACTCTCTTCTTCCGCAGATGCAGACGGTGCAGCAGGAACAGCTGCTGCAGGAGACACAGGCCCTGCAGCAGAGCTTCCTCTCCGAGAAGGACAGCCTGCTGCAGCGGGAGCACTTCATCGAGCAGGAGAAGGCCAAGCTGGAGCAGCTTTTCCAAGACGAGGTGGCGAAGGCACAGCAGCTGCGTGAAGAGCAGCAGCGGCAGCAGCAGCAAATGGAGCAAGAAAGGCAGCAGCTGGTCGCCAGCATGGAAGAGGCGCTGCGGCGGCAGCGTGAGGCAGAGGAGGGCGTGCGGCGCAAGCAGGAGGAGCTGCAGCGACTGGAGCAACAGCGGCGTCAGCAGGAGGAGCTGCTGGCTGAGGAGAACCAGAGGCTGCGTGAGCAGTTGCAGCGCCTGGAGGAGGAGCACCGGGCCGCCCTGGCACACTCAGAGGAGGTCACTGCCTTGCAGGTTGCTGCCACAAAGACCCTGCCTAATGGCCAGGACGCACTTGATGGGCCTGCAGTAGAGGCGGAGCCCAAGCACAGCTTCGACGGCCTGCGGCGGAAGGTGCCAGCCCAGAGGCTGCAGGAGGCAGGCATCCTGAGTGCGGAGGAGCTGCATCGGCTGGCACAGGGCCACACCACAGTGCACGAGCTCGCACGGCGGGAAGATGTACGTCACTATCTTCAGGGCAGCAGCAGTATTGCAGGGCTGATGCTGAAGCCCACCAATGAGAAGCTGAGCATCTATTCAGCCCTGCAGAGGCAGCTGTTGAGCCCTGGCACGGCCCTCATCCTGCTGGAGGCGCAGGCAGCCTCAGGCTTCCTGCTGGACCCTGTGCAGAACCGGCGGCTGACTGTCAACGAGGCTGTGAAGGAGGGCGTGGTGGGCCCCGAGCTACACCACAAGCTGCTGTCGGCCGAGCGTGCCGTCACCGGCTACACCGACCCCTACACTGGGCAGCCCATCTCCCTCTTCCAGGCCATGCAGAAGGGCCTCATCGTGCGGGAGCACGGCATCCGCCTGCTGGAGGCCCAGATCGCCACGGGCGGTGTCATCGACCCCGTGCACAGCCACCGCGTGCCTGTGGACGTGGCCTACCAGCGTGGCTACTTTGACGAGGAGATGAACCGCATCCTGGCGGACCCCAGTGATGACACCAAGGGCTTCTTCGACCCCAACACGCACGAGAACCTCACGTACCTACAGCTACTGGAGCGCTGCGTGGAGGACCCCGAGACAGGCCTGCGCCTTCTACCACTCACAGATAAGGCTGCCAAGGGAGGGGAGCTCGTCTACACAGACTTGGAGGCCCGAGACGTCTTTGAGAAGGCCACCGTCTCCGCACCGTTTGGCAAGTTCCAGGGCAAGACTGTGACCATCTGGGAGATCATCAACTCCGAATACTTCACAGCGGAGCAGCGGCGGGACCTGCTGCGGCAGTTCCGCACGGGCCGGATCACGGTGGAGAAGATCATCAAGATCATCATCACGGTGGTGGAGGAGCAGGAGCAGAAGGGCCAGCTCTGCTTCGAGGGTTTGCGCAGCCTGGTGCCAGCTGCCGAGCTGCTGGAGAGCAGTGTCATCAACCGTGAGCTCTACCACCAGCTGCAGCGGGGTGAGCGCTCTGTGCGAGAGGTGGCCGAGGTGGATGCTGTGCGGCGGGCCCTGCGGGGTGCCGGCATCATTGCGGGTGTGTGGCTGGAGGAGGCGGGGCAGAAGCTGAGCCTCTATGACGCTCTGAAGAAAGATCTGCTGCCCTCCGACATGGCTGTGGCCCTGTTGGAGGCCCAGGCTGGCACCGGGCACATCATTGACCCCTCCACCAGCGCCCGGCTGACTGTGGATGAGGCGGTGCGTGCCGGCCTGGTGGGCCCTGAGCTTCACGAGAAGTTGCTGTCAGCCGAGAAGGCTGTGACGGGGTACAGGGACCCTTACACAGGGCAGAGTGTCTCCCTGTTCCAGGCCCTGAAGAAGGGCCTTATTCCCCGGGAGCAGGGCCTGCGCCTCTTGGACGCCCAGCTGTCCACGGGCGGCGTCGTGGATCCCAGCAAGAGTCACCGTGTACCAATGGATGTCGCCTGTGCCCGAGGCTGCCTGGATGAGGAGACCAGCAGGGCCCTGTCAGCACCCAGGGTTGACACCAAGGCCTACCGTAACCCCAGCACAGGGGAGCCGGTCACCTACAATGAGCTCCAGCAGCGGTGCCGGCCCGACCAGCTGACCGGGCTCAGCCTGTTGCCGCTCTCGGAGAAGGCCGCTCGGGCCCGGCAGGAGGAGCTCTACTCGGAGCTGCAGGCCCGCGAGACCTTTGAGAAGACCCCAGTCGAGGTCCCCGTGGGTGGCTTCAAGGGCAGGACGGTGTCAGTGTGGGAGCTCATCAGCTCTGAGTACTTCACGGCGGAGCAGCGGCAGGAGCTGCTGCGTCAGTTCCGCACAGGGAAGGTCACCGTGGAGAAGGTCATCAAGATCCTCATCACCATCGTGGAGGAAGTGGAGACGCAGCGGCAGGAGAGGCTGTCCTTCAGTGGCCTCCGTGCCCCTGTGCCAGCCAGCGAGCTCCTGGCTTCCGGGGTCCTCAGCAGAGCCCAGTTTGAGCAGCTCAAGGATGGCAAGACCACGGTCAAGGACCTCTCGGAGCTGGGCTCTGTGCAGACGCTGCTGCAGGGCAGTGGCTGCCTCGCTGGCATCTACCTGGAGGAAGCCAAGGAGAAGGTGTCCATCTACGAGGCCATGCGCCGGGGCCTGCTGAGACCCAGCACAGCCGCGCTCCTGTTGGAGGCGCAGGCGGCCACTGGCTTCCTGGTGGACCCTGTGCGGAACCAGCGCCTATACGTCCACGAGGCCGTAAAGGCGGGTGTGGTGGGCCCTGAGCTGCATGAGCAGCTGCTGTCGGCCGAGAAGGCTGTGACCGGCTATAGAGATCCCTACTCGGGCAGCACCATCTCCCTCTTCCAGGCCATGCAGAAGGGCCTGGTCCTCCGGCAGCACGGCATCCGCCTGCTGGAGGCCCAGATTGCCACGGGTGGCATCATCGACCCCGTGCACAGCCACCGTGTGCCCGTGGACGTGGCCTACCAGCGTGGCTACTTCGACCAGGAGATGAACCGCGTCCTGGCAGACCCCAGCGACGACACCAAGGGCTTCTTCGACCCCAACACGCATGAGAACCTCACGTACCGGCAGCTACTGGAGCGCTGTGTGGAGGACCCCGAGACGGGCCTGCGCCTCTTGCCATTGAAAGGGGCGGAGAAGGCCGAGGTGGTGGAGACCACGCAGGTATACACCGAGGAGGAGACACGAAGGGCATTCGAGGAGACACAGATCGACATTCCTGGCGGCGGCAGCCACGGCGGCTCCACCATGTCCCTGTGGGAGGTGATGCAGTCGGACCTGATCCCCAAGGAGCAGCGCGCCCAGCTGATGGCTGACTTCCAGGCCGGCCGGGTGACCAAGGAGCGTATGATCATCATCATTATCGAGATCATCGAGAAAACAGAGATCATCCGCCAGCAGGGCCTGGCCTCCTATGACTACGTGCGCCGCCGCCTCACGGCCGAGGACCTATACGAGGCTCGGATCATCTCTCTCGAGACCTACAACCTGCTCCGGGAGGGCACCAGGAGCCTCCGCGAGGTCCTCGAGGCGGAGTCCGCCTGGCGCTACCTCTATGGCACCGGTTGTGTGGCCGGTGTCTTTCTGCCAGGCTCCAGGCAGACACTGAGCATCTACCAGGCCCTGAAGAAAGGGCTGCTCAGTGCCGAGGTAGCCCGCCTGCTGCTGGAGGCACAGGCAGCCACGGGCTTCCTGCTGGACCCGGTGAAGGGCGAGCGGCTGACCGTGGATGAGGCTGTGCGGAAGGGCCTGGTGGGGCCTGAGCTGCACGACCGCCTGCTCTCAGCGGAGCGGGCGGTCACTGGCTACCGCGACCCCTACACCGAGCAGACCATCTCACTCTTCCAGGCCATGAAGAAGGATCTGATCCCTGCTGAGGAGGCCCTGCGGCTGCTGGATGCCCAGCTGGCCACCGGCGGCATCGTGGACCCCCGCCTGGGCTTCCACCTCCCGCTGGAGGTGGCTTACCAGCGTGGCTACCTCAACAAGGACACGCATGACCAGCTGTCAGAGCCCAGCGAGGTGCGCAGCTACGTGGACCCGTCCACTGACGAGCGCCTCAGCTACACACAGCTGCTCAAGCGGTGCCGCCGTGACGACAGCACCGGCCAGCTGCTCCTGCCACTGTCAGACGCCCACAAGCTGACCTTCCGCGGCCTGCGGAAGCAGATCACTGTGGAGGAGCTGGTACGCTCGCAGGTCATGGACGAGGCCACGGCGCTGCAGCTGCGGGAGGGCCTGACTTCCATCGAGGAGGTCACCAAGAACCTGCAGAAGTTCCTGGAAGGTACCAGCTGCATCGCTGGCGTCTTCGTGGATGCCACCAAGGAGCGGCTCTCAGTGTACCAGGCCATGAAGAAGGGCATCATTCGCCCTGGCACAGCCTTTGAGCTGCTGGAGGCGCAGGCGGCCACCGGTTACGTGATTGACCCCATCAAGGGACTGAAGCTGACAGTGGAGGAGGCTGTGCGCATGGGCATCGTGGGCCCTGAGTTCAAGGACAAGCTGCTGTCAGCTGAGCGCGCCGTCACCGGCTACAAGGACCCCTACTCTGGGAAGCTCATCTCCCTCTTCCAGGCCATGAAGAAGGGTCTGATCCTGAAGGACCATGGCATCCGCCTGCTGGAGGCCCAGATCGCCACGGGTGGCATCATCGACCCCGAGGAGAGCCACCGGCTGCCCGTGGAGGTGGCTTACAAGCGCGGCCTCTTCGACGAGGAGATGAACGAGATCCTGACCGACCCCTCGGACGACACCAAGGGCTTCTTTGACCCCAACACGGAGGAGAACCTCACCTACCTGCAGCTGATGGAGCGCTGCATCACCGACCCCCAGACGGGCCTGTGCCTCCTGCCGCTGAAGGAGAAGAAGCGGGAACGGAAGACGTCCTCCAAGTCCTCCGTGCGCAAGCGCCGCGTGGTCATCGTGGACCCCGAGACGGGCAAGGAGATGTCGGTGTACGAGGCCTACCGCAAGGGCCTCATCGACCACCAGACCTACCTGGAGCTGTCGGAGCAGGAGTGCGAGTGGGAGGAGATCACCATCTCCTCCTCGGACGGCGTGGTCAAGTCCATGATTATCGACCGCCGCTCCGGCCGCCAGTACGACATCGACGACGCCATCACCAAGAACCTCATCGACCGCTCAGCACTGGACCAGTACCGCGCAGGCACGCTTTCCATCACAGAGTTCGCCGACATGCTCTCGGGCAACGCCAGCGGCTTCCGCTCCCGTTCCTCTTCCGTGGGCTCCTCCTCCTCCTACCCCATCAGCCCTGCCGTCTCCAGGCCCCAGCTGGCCTCCTGGTCGGACCCCACCGAGGAGACGGGCCCCGTGGCCGGCATCCTGGACACAGAGACTCTAGAGAAGGTGTCCATCACTGAGGCCATGCACCGCAGCCTGGTGGACAACATCACGGGGCAGCGGCTGCTGGAGGCACAGGCCTGCACCGGGGGCATCATCGACCCCAGCACCGGTGAGCGCTTCCCCGTCACTGACGCTGTCAACAAGGGCCTGGTGGACAAGATCATGGTGGACCGCATCAACCTGGCTCAGAAGGCCTTCTGCGGCTTTGAGGACCCACGCACCAAGACCAAGATGTCAGCCGCCCAGGCCCTGAGGAAGGGCTGGCTCTACTACGAGGCCGGCCAGCGCTTCCTGGAGGTGCAGTACCTGACCGGTGGCCTGATTGAGCCTGACACGCCGGGCCGGGTGTCCCTGGACGAGGCCCTACAGCGGGGCACGGTGGACGCCCGCACGGCACAGAAGCTGCGTGACGTGGGCGCCTACTCCAAGTACCTCACCTGCCCCAAGACCAAGCTCAAGATCTCTTACAAGGACGCGCTGGACCGCAGCATGGTGGAGGAGGGCACGGGGCTGCGGCTGCTGGAGGCGGCCGCGCAGTCCAGCAAGGGCTACTACAGCCCGTACAGCGTCAGCGGCTCTGGCTCCACTGCTGGCTCCCGTGCCGGCTCCCGCACCGGCTCCCGGGCCGGCTCCCGCCGTGGCAGCTTTGATGCCACTGGCTCCGGCTTCTCCATGACCTTCTCTTCATCCTCCTACTCCTCCTCAGGCTACGGCCGCCGCTACGCCTCGGGGTCCTCAGCCTCCCTGGGGGGCCCTGAGTCTGCCGTGGCCTGAGCCTGCCTGCACCCTCCCGCTCTGCATGCGGCCCGGCTCCCGCCGAGTTGCTGGGGTCGCTTTCAACGCTTAAAGGTGTCTTCCTCCCAAGTGGTGCCTAAAGTTTAACCAAAAAAACCAGACTAATATATTAATATATATCTGCTGTCCAGACAGCCTGTATCTTGGGGGACAGGGCTGGCCCAGCCCTGCTGGCCACCTCACCCCCTCGGGTCTCCTCACTCCCTTCTACCTGCCACTCACACAGCCAGGTGCCTTGGAGGGTCCCAAGCTGGGCCCCAGCCCACTCTCCTATCTTCCCAGGGTCGCCCGCCTGCCAGTCCTAGCTGCACAGGGCAGCTGGGCTCAGTCCCGTCAGTAGAGGGCCCTCAGCCTCTCAGGGCTTGAGCCTGGCTGGCATTTCTGTCCCGGTGTTTCTAGCGCTGGCCTACATGGTGGGTCTTCCTGGGGACAGGGGGCCCCAGTCTACCCAGAGAAGCCCCTTCCCCATGGGAAGACGAGGTCCTGCCTGCAGAGCCAGCAGGCCCGGCCCCCACAGCACCGTCTGATCTCTGCTTTCCAGCTCACTCCCACACTCACTCCTGAGAGCCCTGGCCTCCGGCTTCAGCCCTCCAGCCTCTGTTCCCTAGTAAGTGCCTTCCATGTCTGCCTCTCACCCCAGACTCCCAGGACCCAGACCCAGGGGGAGATGGATGTTGCAGCTGGCATGGCTGGGAGCTGCAAACCTGTCCTCCTGGTGGGCCCAGGGCCCCTCCAGCTTGTGGAGCGCCCACGCTGGGGTGCTGCCTGCCCATCTCTCTCCCAGGGAGCCCCAACCCCCTTTGGGCCCAGGGACGCCGGCCGGCTCTGTGCTGACCCTCCCATTCCACCCAGCCCTGGCCTCAGCAGCGACCACTCCTGCCTCCACTCTCCGAGCTTTGCATGTTCCACTAACCCTGGGCGGGCGGCAGGTGGAGGTGTCAGGCTATTGGTGCCTCTGCAAGGGCAGAACACTAACCTGACCTGGGTGGGGCCTTGCGGCATCCACCCCCAATAAAAGCAGTTCCAACCTTCCCGTGCATCCTGCCTTGTGTTTTTTTTCTTGGGGTCCGGTGTGTGTCAGGGATGGGAGACACTGCAGCCCCAGGCCCCAGGCTCTGAGCTCAGCCACTGCGGTCGGGCCAGGGACCAATGTCTGTGCAGCAGAGAGCAGGTGCTGGCAGGAGGGCAGCCGGGAGACCCTGGGCAGAGGGTGCAGTGTGGGGCAGGGTGGCGGCTGCACTGAGGCTGGGCCTCTTGGGGCCTCCTGCTGGTCAGGCACTGACGGTCCTCCAGCCCCACTCCTGGCTCATGTCTCCTCATCTGAGGCGGGGTCTGGCATGCTCCCATGTCAGTCACTGGCTCCAGCCCCCTGGCTCCCAGAGAGGGTGCCACATGGCCCCTGGTCATTTGGTTCCTGCTGGCCGGGCAGCCCTCCAGAGAAGGGGCCATGGGCAGTGGGCGGAGTCTGAGGGCCTCACCACAGTCTATGCTGTGTCTCTCTGCCCCGTGCCCCTCACATTCCGGAATTCCACCTGGACCAGCCTCTCCAGGCTTCCAATTGGTGGCAGTTTTGGGGAAGACTTAGGGGAAGACTTAGGGGAAGAGGAAAGTGGGGCCAGGGCCAACCCCAGCCCGCAGCAGCTGCTGGCCCAGGCTTAGCTGATACTCACCTCTTTCTTATTTCAGGAAGAGTCTTGCTCTGTCACCCGGGCTGGAGTGCAGTGTCGTGATCTCGACTCACTGCAGCCTCCACTACTCGAGTTTCAAATGATTCTCCTGCCTCAGCCTCCCGAGTAGCTGGGATTACAGGTGTGCACCACCACACCCAGCTAATTTTTATATTTTTAGTAGAGATGGGGCTTCTCTAAAGTTCGAGATGGCCAGGCTGGTCTTGAACTCCTGACCTCAAGTGATCCTCCCCGCTTTGGCTCCCAAAGTTCTGGGATTACAGGCGTGAGCCACTGTGCCCAGCCTTTGCCTCTCTTTTCTGCTGGTGGGACCCAGGCCCTCACCCCGAGGTCCAAGTCCTGGTCCCCTCGCTCTTGCTGAGCTCTGCCCTCCCCACCCCGGCCAGGGAGGTTGCTCTGCCCGCTGGTCCACTGAAACAGGAGCGGCTGTGGCCAGGTGGCCCACAGCTGTTGAGCGTGGCAGTGCCTCACTGTCCCAGGTGGCTGTGCTTTAGGGCCTCTGAGCCCTCACAGCTTAGAGTTATGGGGAAAGGGGGTACATGTTCTCAGTGGGTCACTGGGAGCTGCTGAGTGGACGGCCACTCCTGCCTCTACCCCTTGGTCCCCAGACCCATGTGGTCCTCCGTGGGGCCATTGATGCAGGCTGAAGGCCACATCCTGGGGACAGGGCTGCCACAGTCCCAGAGGGCTGGTGTCAGGGCAGTGGCAGTGGCAGCACTGCTTTTGGAGAGGCTCGCTGACACTGCAGGCTTCGCGGCCCCATGCTCCCACATCCCTCTGCACCCCTTGCCGTAAGCAGCCAGAGGTCCTGGGGACTGCTACTCAGGAGTCCCCCAGGGCAGACACGGAGGGGCGCTGTGGGCTGAAGGGCGGGTGCAAGCCTGGAGCACCAGCTGTTGCCTTTCCGAGGGGAAGGGGTCTCCAGGGCAGAGTTTACCACCAATCGACCAGTTGCTCTGACATCCGGGCCCCTGGTGATATTTACTGCCGGAGGATGGGATGTGCGGCTGCTGAGAGGAGCTGGGCTATCGAGGGCGCCTGGACCCTCTGCCCCTTCATTGCTCTACGCAGAAGCTGCCTCACTGGCCCCGTCATTGTCTTGTGGGAAGCTCGGTGCCTGCTCTGCAGCCAGTGCCCCAGTGTACACGCAGAAGCCCCCACGCCGGTGTCTACCTGCCAGTTCCATTCCCAGGCTGTCTTCCAGCCTTGCACTTCTCAGGCCCTGGCCAGACAGCCGAGCCCTTCCCCAGCCCTGTCCATGTGCGTCCTTACTGCGACTGCTCTCCTCCTCCTGAGACACCAGGAATCGCCCTTGCCCCTGACTCCAGGGCCAGCCCGAGTGGAGTGGTCCAAACACCATGAACCCAATTGCTAAGGAGCAGCCCGGGCTTGACCTCCGCCCAGTCACATGGACCCTCTGAGACCTTGGCCTGACTGGCAGGTGAGCTAGAAGCTGGGCCACCTGCCCATGCAGCCCTCTGGCTCTCCTGGTCAGTGCCCGGCTGTGTACTGCCTCTTACCCGAGATCCCACTATGCCGCTGACCTTAGCCTGGCTGGGTCCTGTGGCACTGACTCCTGGTGGGAGCCGTGGCTGGACCGTCCCCAGGAACTTCTCTGAACATCCTTGCTTCAAACCTTAGGTCTGTGCTGCAGCTCTTCTGGGCCTTGCTGGAGCCCCCTTGACACAGCCTCCTCCACCCACTGCATGTGCTCCCACACACCCTCCATCCGTTGCAGGTGCTCCCACACACCCTCCACCCGCTGCAGGCGCTCCCACACAGCCTCCATCCGCTGCAGATGCTCCCACACAGCCTCCATCCGCTGCAGGTGCTCCCACACAGCCTCCTCCACCCGCTGCACGCGCTCCCACACAGCCTCCTCCACCCGCTGCACGTGCTCCCACAGAGCCTCCTCCACCCGCTGCAGGCGCTCCCACGCAGCCTCCTCCACCCGCTGCAGGCGCTCCCACACAGCCTCCTCCACCCGCTGCAGGCGCTCCCACACAGCCTCCTCCACCCGCTGCAGGCGCTCCCACACAGCCTCCTCCACCCGCTGCAGGTGCTCCCACACAGCCTCCTCCACCAGCTGCATGCGCTCCCACACAGCCTCCACCCGCTGCAGGTGCTCCCACACAGCCTCCTCCACCCGCTGCATGTGCTCCCACAGAGCCTCCTCCACCCGCTGCAGGTGCTCCCACAGAGCCTTCTCCACCTGCTGCAGGTGCTTCCACACAGCCTCCTCCACCCGCTGCAGGTGCTCCCACAGAGCCTCCTCCACCTGCTGCAGGTGCTCCCACACAGCCTCCTCCACCTGCTGCAGGTGCTCCCAGTACAGGAGCTATGTTAGGTCACGGCCCTGAGTGGCAGGGCTTGGCTCCACAGCCTCACCAGCTGTGCCACCCTTCCTTTTCCTGGGCACCACTCAAAACTGGAAGCCTCTGTATCACCTGATAAAGGGATTCATGTCTAGTATTGTGCCATGTCCAGAACCCAGAGGCCCTCTGGCTACTGGGCTTCTTTCCCAGTGGTAGGAAATGCAAGTCTCTAAGCTCGTCCTTGACCTGGGACAGGATGTTCTAACATGCCCAGATCTCTGGACTCCTAAAACCATTTTTTTTGAGATGGAGTTTCACTCTTGTTGCCCAGACTGCAGTGCAGTGGCACAATCTCGGCTCACCACAACCTCCGCCTCCCGGGTTCAAGCAATTCTTCTGCCTCAGCCTCCTGAATAGCTGGGACTACAGGCATGTGCCACCACACCTGGCTAATTTTGTATTTTTAGTAGAGACGGGGTTTGGCCATGTTGGTCAAGCTGGTCTTGAACTCCCAACCTCAGGTCATCCACCCACCTCGGCCTCCCAAAGTTCTGGGATTACAGGTGTGAACCTCTGCGACCAGCCTGACTCCTAAAACCTTTATGACGTGACCAGTCCCTGAATCTTGGCTCAGCCTCTCTCCCACCCTAGAGTGCCTGTGTCCTAGCAGGATGTTCAGAGCGCCCGCCACTTCCTCTTTGCCAGGCCCGGTGGGTGTGATGCTGGCAGTAAACGGACCTGTGTGTTTATGCTTTGGACGATTGTCCATGTGTCTGCGAGTCTGTGAGCCACTGTCCACCCATGTGAGCGGGAGTTGCCTTGACTTCCCTGTGCAGTGTAGAGCCGTTTACCCAGCCAGGAGCCACAGAGCACCATCCGAGGCCAGGAGTCTGCTCCGGGAAGGACTGCAGACAGCACGGCAGCTGGGCTGGCGCTGCCGGGGGACACTGTGGCTCCGCTGCTGTCCACCACAGTCCACCCAGCTCTTGTAGGAACCTGACCAGAAATCAAGTGGGAAGATGGTGACAGTCACCCCTGCAACCTTTAGGCACCTCAGGTGTTGCTGACACTGCCATTTTGACCACAATGTCGTATTGCTTTATTTGGCTGGGGCTGGGATAGTTTCTAAGGCTTCCATTTGGTCTTTTCTACTACAGCGATTTTTACGCCATGGGCCAAAGAGCCCACGTGAGGATTTGCCCGCTGTCGAGCACACCTGTCCCAATCACACATTCCTGGGCTGGGAAATGACGGGCTGAGACCTGGGCTAGGACTCCATAGACGTCCTGCCCTCATGTTCCTACACAGACGGGGAGCCTCTGAGGGTGCTTTGCATCCCAGGTGTCCGCATCCGCTCAGATCCTGATCTGGGCACCTTCTTCGCCCCAGGGCACAGTTGTCCAGATAAGCGGCTTTGGGTCCCTGGGAGAGGGATGGGGGGTTGCTGCTGCCCACACTTGGAGTCCTGAGGCCTTTCACAAGGGGACTGGCCCCTCTTTCACATCGTGGGCTCTGGCTCTGAGAACTGGCTTACATAAGGAAACAAAGCAGCCGTTGCGTTTTTGACGGAAGCAGCAGGCCTGGACTCACTCACTCATTTTACAACTCGCTGGTGCTGTGTGCTGAGCCAGGGGTCCTCGGAGTTGTCCTTGAGACCACCTGGGAGCTTGTGAGAGGCAGAGCCTCAGCCCTGGCCCAGACCAACGGAGTCAGAAATTCTGGGCCTGGGGCTCAGCCACCTGTGCTCTAAGGAGACCTCCAGCAGCTGCTGCATGCTTGCGTGTGAGAACCAGCATCATGAGCAGCCCCGTGCAGGCTGCCCATCTGTGTCTCCCCTCAGGGTGCGGCTACCCATGAGCCAGCTTCATGGGCCCCCGTGGTCAGGGTCTTCTGGCCACTGCCCTGCCCCCAAACCTCTCACCCATGGCCAGCAAATCTCAACAGGTGGGAGCTCCGTGGCTGCACCACCATGGATGCTGGGCCGACAGCATTGCCAGGCAGTTGATGGCATTCTGTGCCCCAGGACCA